GACCCCCAGGGGGAGAGCCTTCTCTGTGGCAGCTCCTGCCCTCTGGAATGACCTACCCCCCGACCTACGTACAACTACGGACCTGCGCCTCTTCCGCCGAGCCTTGAAAACCCATCTATTCCATGCGGCCGGCCTGGCGTAGTTTTGATTGGGCTTTGCTGGGGGTTTTATATGGGGTATTTTAGAGCAGGCTTTTTATTCAATATTTATTGTGATTTTTATTATTGCCTGTTCACCGCCCTGAGTCCCGTAAGGGAGATAGGGCGGTATATAAATTTAAATAATAAATAAATAAATAAATAAATGCAGTGTCACGGGGACAGAAAAATGAAATTTCCCGAATATGTTTGTACAAAGAGGAAAGGCTCTCAGTCACTTTTAACTCAGTCTTTCTCAGCCTTGGCAACTTTAAGACAGGTAGACTTCAACTCCCAGAATTCCCCAGGCAGCACACTGGCTGAGGAGTTCTAGGAGTTGAAGTCCACCCATCTTAAAGATGCCAAGATTAAGAAACACTGCTATAAGTAATACATGTATTTATATTGTTCTCCGTTCCTCTCGATCGTATAGCTTTACATTATTCACATAATGCCAACGTTGTTAACTTTTTCTTTAGCCAGATCCGCATCTCGGAAACCCACGGCTCTTGGTTTGGTTTCAGAATCAGCTTTGGTGGGTTTCAGAAAAAAAGGTGAATTTGGACAGAGCAAAACAAAACAAAAAAAAGGCTTCTCTGCTTTCTCTCCTGTGAGGTTGCTCTTTGAATAAGTTGGGGAGTGGGGTTGTGTATGTGTGACATTTGTGCAGAACAATTGGTTGGTTTCATTGGATGAAAAGGATGGAGCATTCTACTTCTACTTTCCATCCATAGCCTGCAAAATCTAGAATACAACAAAGCATAGTACCCCTGCCTGAGTTTTTACAAGAGTGTAACAACATTATCACAAAAATAAACTTGACTGTAAAAAAAAAATCAATTTTTGTTAACAGAGTTATCCAAGTCTGGAATATCTTACCCATTTCAGTTGTCTCAACTACTAGCTTTCCCAAGTTTTAATTCCAATTTAACTTCTCATCCAATATTTAAGAGTCCCTAAGGGGGCGTGCCTATCGTCTCTGTCACATTTTAGTTTTTCTTCATTTTTGTTTGTTCGAATTTGTAATTTTTGTTTGACCAATAAATAAATAATATGCTTTAAAACTATCTTTTTGTTTTTTCAAGGGGAAGGCAAATTAACATCCCCCCCATTTCATCTTCTTTAAGAGATTTTTCCACCATTATTTCCTCTTCCCTTTCAGGCTCTTATTACCCAGAATGCCTGAGTAGGGAACTAAACACTCACACTTCTTTTGGTCTTGATCTGCACATTCATTCTCTTGTGGTCCAAGGAGATGAACTCGGCAGGCACCTTCTCAAAACTCAGAAGCTCCAGTTCTGTGAAGCAGAAAGGGACATATAATTATGGGTTTAGATCAGGAGTGTCCAACCTTTGCCACTTTAAGACTTGTGGACTTCAACTCCCAGAATTCCCCAGCCAGCATGGCTGACTGAAGAATTCCGGGAATTGAAGTCTACACATCTTAAAGTTGCCAAGGTTGGACATCCCGCTTTAGCTAGATGTACAGGAGGATCTGGACAGATTTGAACACTGGGCGCTATCTAACAAAATGAAATTCAATGGTGAAAAAGTAAGGTTCTACATTTAGGCAAGAAAAACCAAATATACAGGTATAGTATAGGGGGTACCTTGCTCAATAGTAGTAACTGTGAGAGGGATCTCGGAGTCCTAGTGGACAATCACTTAAATATGAGCCAGCAGTGTGCTGCAGCTGCCAAAAAAGCCAACACAGTGCTGGGTTGCATTAACAGAGGGGTAGAATCAAGATCATGTGAAGTATTAATACCACTTTATAATGCCTAGATAAGGCCACACTTGGAATACTGCATCCAGTTTTGGTCACCACGATGTAAAAAAGATGTTGAGACTCTAGAAAGAGTGCAGAGAAGAGCAACAAAGATGATTAGGGGACTGGAGGCTAAAACATATAAGGAAAGGCTGCTGGAATTGGGTATGTCTAGTTTAATGAAGA